ATATATTGTATGTACGTCGGCTAAATAGACAACTCTATATGAAGGGATTACTGTGTGTTTCACGGCATGTCGATACTGCAATCCATGATACTCCAACAATTGCAAAGCCATAATTAATCACCATCTTCGAAAAAAAAAATAAAAAAAGCAGTAAAAAAACTCCCGCGATGGATAAGATACAATATTTTCTCAGCTTCTTAAAGTAAGCACTAATAAACCTTTGAAAAACGATTAATATTCTTTTTATTCTCTGCTAATTCGAAAAGATTTATATTAGTAAATAAGAACAAGACTCAGGTAAAGTGTCTAAGGTGAAGTCCTCAATTAAATTTAGATTAGATAAATAGTAAAATTAAAAATCAAAACCTAGAAACTGGTAAAGCTTGTTCAATATGTAGACCATACACCCTCAGAGGCGGAGGCAGGGGAGCTAGGAGGAATTTTATCAATTCATTGATTTAAGAATTAAGTTTCCATTTAAGAATACTACTCAAGTCTCGCCCAATACGTAGCCATCAAACAAAATATCAAATTAATAATTTAGACAATTCAACTTTTCCTTAAAATGTGTCCTTGTATCTTGTAGTATTTCGAATATATTAAAATCTAAATTTGCCAATCTTTGATTCAGGTCCATAGTACATAGAAAAGTAGATGAGATGCATAGACCATTTTGGTCTTTGAGGTGGGTTTAAAATTAAATTAATTTGAATATTTATCTCCTACAATAACATTTTTTATTTACAAACAAAAAAGAGAGAGAGAGAGAACCAATTAATTCTACCATTCAATATTTTATTTACTTTGATTAGATTTAAAATCATACTATACATCTCCATGCTTAAGACAATTAAAAAGAAATATTATTTTTTCATAATTAAATTATTATAAGATTTGGATGTTTTTGCTACATTAACACCCTCTTTTTGCTAAAGGCATACGACCACATAATTGATGACCTTGAGACAACTGTTTATTGAAGGTGAAAGCCAGGTAGGATTTCTACTCATATTTCGTCTTTGTTTATTAGATTCTCCTTGAAAAGTGGGTGCTGGTGTAGACAAATTAACAACTAGTGCTAGAAAGACAAATAAGTAACGGCACTGTACCTGTCAGCCCAACGTATGCAAATGTCACCTTCCGGCAATAAGAAATAGGTCGACAAACTTGGAAAAAGAAACGTGAGAAAATATAGAACGGCAATACATGCGATACAAGTTCTGCACAAAAGACAACACATCTAACAGGGCTTTGCATGCAACAGATCATTGTATATATACGTGAGCATTACTCAGTTGTTTCACAACCCAAAACTACACTCTTCAAAACAAGAAGTAGAAAGAAAGAATGCCAATCTCTGCCTACACAATTAGCTCCATGGGCATTCCTCATTTCAAGAAAACCCCATCGACAAATGTTGCAGAAGAAGATCAACAAGAAAAGATGAACAAGGAGTGCGAGGAGTTTATTCTTTCTCTCCCCAAAGAGAAAGGGTGGCGAACTCCTTATCTCTACAAATTTCAAGGCTTCTGGTGCCAACCAAACGAGATCCAAGCCATAATTTCTTTCCAGAAGCACTTCCAAGCTAGAGCTACTGATGTAATTCTTGCAACAATTCCGAAATCGGGCACCACTTGGATTAAAGCCTTGGTTTTTGCCACCATGAATCGCCAACGTTTCGGAATTTCTAATTGCCATCCATTGCTTACATCCAATCCTCATGATTTAGTTCCCTTCCTGGAATACAAGCTTTATGCAAACAACCAAATCCCAGACCTCTCCAATCTACCCAACCCAAGGCTATTCGCGACCCATGTTCCTTTTGCATCCTTGCAAAACTCTATCAAGAATAATTCCGATTGCCGGATTGTTTACCTCTGCCGAAACCCTTTTGACACTTTCATATCCTCCTGGCACTACATTAACAAAGTGAGGCCGGATTCCTTACCCCCACTTCCTCTAGAAGAAGCATTTGATATGTACTGTAATGGAGTGGTTGGTTTTGGCCCCTTTTGGGAGCATATGTTGGGGTACTGGAAGCAGAGCTTGGAAAGGCCAAAGAATGTGTTGTTTCTCAAGTACGATGACATGAAAACAGATATCATCTCACACTTGATGGTGCTGGCAAAGTTCTTGGGTCTCCCCTTTTCTGTTGAAGAGGAAAAAGAAGGCGTGATAGAGGAGATAGCAAAACTCTGTAGCTTTGATAAATTGAAAGATTTGGAGGTTAATAAATCTGGAAAAGCTATTAAGAACTTTGAAAACAAACACTTGTTTAGGAAAGGAGAGGTGGGAGACTGGGTGAATTATCTCTCACCGTTGATGGTTGAGAGGTTATCGAAGGTCATGGACGAAACATTTGGTGCTTCTGGTCTGAAATTTTAGGTATTTTCTTTTAGAATAAGCTACCATGTCTTTCAAATTAGAATACACGTGAACTTTTTATTTATTTCTGTATGTATCAGTAATGCATATTGATAAATGTCTCTAGTTCCAACCAGGGGTTATCCACCCTTAAAATTCCCTTTGATCAAAAAAGTAAATGCTGTGATCAGAGCATGCTTGGCCTGATTTTGTTTAATTTAAAAACTATTATAAAGCTCTTATGAAAAATAATAGCTTTTAAAATTAAATTAAAGTTGTTTGCTAAATTTACTTTTTTAAGCTCTTTTTTATAAATAAATTGCTTGGCAAAACAATTTATATAAACTCTAACTTTAGTTAAAATTATCATAAAACATATTTAATAAATAATTTTTTATTAATCACAAATTTTTTTGTTCAAACTAAGAAAATTAACTTTATTTTTTATCTATTTAAAATAAATTTTTTGAAAATATAAAAAGGATTTTTATATAATATAAAGTTTATAATTAATAATAAATTATAAAAAAAGAGTTCAACAAATAATTTATAAGTAACACTTAATTCATAAATAATTTTTATTGAATAATAATAAATAAATAAAATCAAGAGAAAAATTGAATCAAATTAAAAAAATGAGAGATGAAAGAAAGCAATGAGTCGACTACTAAAACTCTTAACCTTAATAATGGAGAAGAACCCATAAAATAAGAAGAGAAGTTTAGAGTGGTAGTAATAATTTAGGAAAATCACACTTAGCTATTAATGTACTTATAATCAACAAATATTATTTCAATTTTCATTTAATTTATCTCAACAACCATGTGGTTGACCTATTTAATTAATTATTTTAATCATAATCATCAAATATTATATACACCATAAAGAAGTTAAGAATAAATAAACATAACATAATTTTCATATAAAAAATAAACTAAGAAATATCAACTAATAAAGAGAGTTTTCAAAGTCCAAACAAAAAAGATAAAAAATAAAATAAAAAAAAAATAGAAAGAAAAATAAGAAATAATACTTGAATGCAATTTTGAATTTTGAATTTTCTTTTTTCTTAATTTTTGTAAGAACAAAAAAAAATTAATTTGCAGAAAGGGAGACAGGAGAGGGAGATCGATTGGGAGAGCGGAAGGAGTATTTTTTGAGAGAAAGGATCTTTTTGGGAAAAAAATAGCTCTCTTAATAAATTGACGTATGTAACAAAAAAAAGAAGAAAAAGCTCCTAATTGGAGCTCTTTTCTAAACTTTTTTTTTTAAAGATTTTATTCTTTAAAAAAATTACTTTTTTTAAAGAACTTTTGACGATATCTTGTTTGATCCAAGTTTTACTTTTAAATAGTAAATAAGTTAAGTATAAGTCAAGCCAAACACGCACCAGGTTAGAAAAGTTATCGCCTTTCTTTTAGATAGGAGTGGATCACGGGTTTAAAGAGAGATGTTACTGTAGAAGAGATAAGGTGATCAACCACATTAGATGACAAAGAATCAAGCAAATGAGATAAATAAGTCAGAAAATCTAGAACAATCATGAGATGATTTTCTGTTGTGATGTTTGAATTTAAATTGTAATGTTTATATTGAAATAGACAAGTAAGATAAGATGATCTCACATACCCTGTATTTTGTTTATAACTTTACATTTGAAACATCATTAGTGTATAGATTCTACACACTACCAATCAATCAAATGTTATCAATTTGTTAATAAATAAATTTCAAAAAGTTAAATAAATCTTAAAAGTAAAAACTCATAATTTTAAAAAATATTTATTTGGAAAGATTTTTTAATTTGTCTTCTGGCATATTTATATGAAATGGCATAATATTATTAAGTGAAAATATATAAATATTAAGGTAAACTCCACATACACCCCTTGTGGTATAATTTTTTTACACATAGCATTGTGAGGTTTTTTTTTAATATATATAAAATCTTATGTTTTAGTTCTATTTCCAAAAGGATAACGGTGTTAAAAGCTTCAGTTAACTTTTTGTAAATAGATAATAACAATCTTTGTTTTAATCCTTTTATATTTTATTTATTTAATTAAAAAAATATTTCACCAATGGAGATCAAAGCCTTGAACAAATAATTCAGTTCCACATCTCAAAAATCAAGAGTTTGATGAGAATGGTTGGGGATGGAGTTGGCTAGAACGTTGGATGGCAGCCCGGCCATGCGAGACTAGATTGATGGAACAATCACAGGTTGACCCTTCAGAAGCCACTCCACCATCAAAAAGTTGTTCAGGGTCCCTCATGGGAAAGCGTACAAAATCTTCTGAACCATGCTCTGTGAAAGTCAGAAAGAACAATATCACCACCAGGATTTCTACAAAGCCTCCTCATATTGGGCTAGTTTTTTGCTGGTCTTCAAGCTCTAAATTCCGATTTGATGAGAGCTCTGCTTCACATTCAATATGCACTTCTACCACACCAGTTTCTGGAAACACTTATCTTGGCTTCAGATAGAACAGAGGAGAGTGGCAATAGTAGACCAATCTACATGAACTTGACTGAGTCTACCGAGGCAAGACAAAGAACAGGCAATCATGCCTTGGGAAGAATCCAAAAGCAGCCCATAGATGAGTTCCAGTTCAAGCGATCAGCTGCTTTCTACAACGGGGATTCAAAAGGTTGTGCCGGTTCTTATCCTTCAGTCCATATGTCTCGACCACTATATCCACCTACACAATTGGATAGAAGTCAATGAAACCCAGGGACAGGGTGACTGCTTGTACAATTAGATTGATAATTGTTTGTTTCTTTCAAAAGTGCAACACCCATGTTTCGGACTAGGGTTATAATTCTGGTGCTTGATATACGTGACTTCTGCTTTCACGGTTGGTCTATGAATGACATCGTATGGAGAGAAGAAATGGTTTCTTGAGAGGAATATTTTTTGCTAACACTTTTAACATAAATTTATAAGTTTCCATGTAATTGTACAGGATTATTTTTTCAAAAACTGAAAAAAGAAGAAGCAAAAGCAAATTATTTGGACAGGATCCATTAAGGCCTTTTAAAAGAGAGTATGTGCATCTGGATCTTCTTCGATAAATTTTGAATACAAACCCTAAGAACTCAATACTAATCATGATCCAAACAAAAATAAAATCAATCCAATTCTAAAATGAACCGATCAATCAAAATTCTCTTATTTAAAGTAATAATAAAAGGTTATTCTATTTATTCAAATTCAATATTCAAAGAAATTATATTTTATAAAAATGAATTAAACGAACAGAAAAAATGAGAGAGGAAGATTTGACAACAAAGGCAAGGGTCGAATCTTTTGAACGTGTTTGGAATTCAAAGAAGAAAACACTCTTGTTTAGACACTAAGAAAGTGAGAGAAAAGTAGAAAAGAAATCCAAAAGTTGAAATATTTTTTTAATTAAAAAAATAAAATATAAAATAGTTAAAACAAAAGTTAATATTGTCAGTTTACAAAAAATTAATTGAAACTTTAAAACGCTGTCATCCCTTTCAGAATAAATACTAACCACAATTGCCAAAGCTAGAATAATAACAAATATTATAATTTATAATAACATCACAACAATCGCTAATTAAAAAATAATTTAGTCTAAGTATTTAGTTAATTAGTTGGTGCATTATCTCTCGTTTAGAGAGTAAGATTCAAATCTCTTTTTTTCTAATTAAAAAAAAATCTACACATCTCATTCTAAAATAAATATCTAAGAAATGATAAAACTCACGACATCCAAGCCATTAAAGGCAAAAAGAAAACACATTGAAATCCACCGTGACATGCAAAAGCAGCAAGTTATAGTGCATATGTTATGTTGAACCTCCCAACTTCAAAATCAAAGAGTGCAAAGACGCGATAAGTTCATGAAATAACATCGTAGAGCAGTGTGATCTACTTTCCTCGTTTCCTTATTGTTTGCTTCTATTGGGTTTTCAAAGAAATTTAAGAAAAAATTTATGATTTGGTGTATTTTAGATTAAAATTTTAATACTTTTTATAAAATTGATGTTTCATGATTTTTAATTTCAAAAGGTAAGAAAAAAATCACATAAAATATGTTAAGATAATTATACAAAATATTTAATTTGAATTATTATACAATACTATTATATATTTATACTACAATAGCTGGTTAAGAGTCACTATAATATTATTAGTGAGTTAGAGTTAAGACTATGAATAAGATTAAGATTAGCCGTATATACAATTTAGATTTCTCTGTAATTTATACAATTTTATATTATACAATATTTTCCTTCTTTTAACAAATTTTGAATATGTCAAATGTAAATGTATTAGATGTTCCAAAAAAAAAAAGAAATAGCTCTAAAACATCCAAAAAAAATAAAAAAGATTGACGGACAAAATGGGCAGATGAAGTATATTTCTTTTTATTTGAAAGATTGAAATTTCATTGGAGCCGAGGGAATGGAAGATTTACCTCTTGCAACAAACAACACAAGCATCATGATTATGACACTTATGCCTAAGAGCAAAAAGTAGGCATAACCTTCCAAACCACAATAGCATTTGCGTCCAAAACACAAGCGCATCTATCTCATTTGTACACAAATGTTTCACATATACACATCGTAACTCCGCCACTAATCTGTACACACACACAAAAAGAAAAAAAAAGGCAATGAAAACCAAAACTATCCATCTGTCACCATCTTGGCATACTTATAGCTTTGCCCTTTGCTCCACATTAAGCACCCTGATTGAAACCTACCCAACAAAAAGAGAAAAACCCCAGACCCTATCTTGCTGAGGCCGCATCACTGTCAGATTTCAATGTCAGCAAATAAAACATCTCTCAAACACTCTGAGCAGTCCCTGTTGCCTTTGGCCGCCTTCTTTCACAAGTTTAACACCAATTTGGTCCCCCTCTCTTAGTGTATGATTGATTTCCCATTGAATGACTTCTTTCTTCAAACCTTTTATTTGAAGCACTCATCTCCTCAATTTCGCTGGTGGCAAGTGTGGTTCGTTTGTCCATTTAACTGCATTACATGAATAACTTTCCATCACCAAAAGGCACAAACTCCTCCACTTCGATGCTGTGTAAACT